TCTCTAAAACCAGATCATTGCTGTAGAATCGGATCCATTCAGAACCGTGGTCTCCTCCCTTTTTTCTTTAGCCTTTGCTCCCCTTTTATAATTCTTTTTTCATGATATGTCTCATCGATGACAAGTGGGCTGTTACAACATGCTTCTGGCTTGAAAAGTCCTCCAACTATTTGAGAACAATTACCTAGAAAGCTGTTGGCAGACCTAGATGAAAAAATTAGCGCTATGATAGAACCTATGTATCACCTCGAGGTTGGTCGTGATAAAAATGGATTCCAAATATCCAACTTTTAGATCTCCAAATTTTAGAAACGAATTTTGGATACCAGATAATAATTACATCCCTAATTTAAGTGTTGATGTAACAATGGCGTGGTTTTCAATTTTGGTTAGACCAAAAGGAACAAACAATATCAAAAGAATTGAAATATTTCAGTTTTAACTAATAATAAATTTAAGAATAGTAGAAATATTAAGAAAAAACAATGAAAAGAAATCAATAGAACAAATTAAAAGAAATAAATCTTTACAAGAAGAACAAATATGATAAATTAATAAACAAATTTAAAACTAATGTTTTATAGTTTTTGTATTTTGTTCCTGAGTCAAATTTGATAAATAATATAATTATTCTGTAATTTCTAATGTAAAAAGGAATGAGAGGGTTCTTGGCTCAACTTAGGTATACTGGTTCGTAAAGAAAAGTGTTTGATACTCGTTTCATCAATCTCAATTTTATTACTGATGGTTCTTTTGCTAGTATCTCTGTTTAATATTAAATATTATATAGTTTCCGATTTATGTTTTCTTATGTGGGCTTTGATTTCAAGAATTTATCTTTATTCCGTTGTTTATACTACTTTTTTGTGTCTGATAATATTAAAACTTTCAAAAATACATAGTGAGATACAGATTTGAGATATAGATTTGAGATACAGTATCTAATACAACAAAATAAAACTAAGAAGAAACACAAGACTGAAATCAAAAAGATACTCGAATGGATGAACCACAATCACAGCTATCATGAAACTTAGTAGAATAACTTATTCTCTATTACTAAGCAAAAGAAAATGATATCTTTTGTACCTAAAAAAACTCTCAGTCTATTGAAGTTATGAGAGCACAGATATGTAATTTCACTCGAAAACCGCTCTGACCCAATATTGAGTTTCGGAATTCACCTGCGAGAAAGCAAAACCACTCGGAAATACAACAACCGCACGGAAAAGGCGCCCAGAGATGAACGGCGACAAACACCTGCTCCTCCCCACCATCGTAGATCCGTCGAAACTGAACCGCACCCTCTTCAAAAAATCAGATGACTTCGATCCACCACCGAAAACAAGAGACGCTACTCCACCCAACCACACCTCCGCAGGACAAACCTGAAGACGAAGCCATCGAAGAAAACCATTACCAGAATAAAGATGAAGATCTTCTTCCTTCTTGTTGAAAAAACTCGAAACAAACAAACCCAAAGACAAATCCTAACACAAAACAGCAGAAAACAGCAGGAACCGCCTTCTCACAGTGCCGGCGGAAGCCACCGAACACCGGAGAGACCAAGAAGAAAACACTCTTTTTCCCCTCTCTCTCTAGCGGCTGACCGTTGTCTATACTACTATCTCAACATAAATTGCATCCTGTATTTTAACTTTACTTTTGAATACTAATTAAATGACAAAAAGAGAATGGAAGGGAATTATGTAGGTCTTACATATAACAAATCTTAACTATTATTTGAGAAGCATGTTTAATGAAAAAATCTGATGTGTAATCACCTTAGCAAAAGTTAGTGTAAATTAATGGTGACATGGAATTGTGACATGAAAATGTGACATGACAAATTTCCTAAAATAAACGAAATATTTTGATTGGTTGAATCTTAACTATTATTTGAGAAGCATGTGTAATAAAAAAATCTGATATGTCACACCACCTTAGCAAAAGTTAGTATAAATTAATGGTGACATGTAATTGTGACATGGAAATGTGACATGACCAATTTTCTAAAATAAACAAAATATTTTGATTGGTTAAATTATAATTAAATATATTATATAATTATAACATAAATACATTAGATTATAACACTATAAATAATAAATTTAAATTTACAAAAATAATAATTACTATGATTTCAAATTGTATTTAAATATATTCATAATAGATTGCATAAAATATGATTACAAAAATTTTACAACCAATATATATTTTATATTTTTATATAGAAAAATAATAATAGACTATCCAATAAGATAGTATATACACTATATATTAATAATGTTAGGAGTATGATATATTATTATTTGTATAAATTTTTTTACATTTTTATATTATTGTTTTTTAGAATTTGCATAGCTTACTTTACCATTCCATTTTATCTCTTATCATTTTTTAAATAAATAAAAAGTTTATATCATACTCATATATAGTCTCATTGTAGATCGAGAATTTGAGATCAGAAATAAAACGCAATGTAACAGGATATAAAAAAATTATAAATAAGATAAACAAATATTACTAAGAAGTAGAAGTAAAAATAAAAATAAATCTTCACTGTTTTGTTTTTCCGTAACACTCTCAAACTTTATTTGACGGAGTCATTTTGAAAATCTTAAGAAAGAAATTTTATAATAAACGCATGTGTGGTTCAAATTTTATAATGAACACATGCGTGCAGATCAACCATAAGAATTGTTTTTTTTCATCAAACCAATTCCTCAATATTGGACATAGAGATATGTGGAGAGCTACCAGAGAATTTTATAAAATATGATTTCACAAATTTTATAACAAATGTTTATTATAAATTTTATTTGATATAAATAAACATATGAATAAGAAGTAAAAGTAAAAATAAAAATGAATCTTTACGACTTTGCTTTTCTGTAAAAAATTTCAGGTTATGTCTTTGGTTTAAAGCATCTCTAACCCACTTTTATTTTAAACCTTCTAATTTAGAGAAAAAACAGTGATGCTATTTTTTCTTCTATAATTGGAGGAAAAAGTAACAATCTTTCTTTTTCCTTTAAAATAGAAATAGGTTGGAGAGAAATCCACCTGTATTTTAGAAAAAAAATAGAAAAATACATTGGAGATGATCTTATTGTTTAATAGATTATTCAAGGATAAGAAACAAAATATAAGTCAAAGAAAAAAATAAGTTTGATTGATTTTATGTTTTTATTTTGAAATATTTAAAAATATTATCTTACACATATTAATTCTTTCATGCATATATTTTTTCAACTTCTTAAAACATTATTTCATGAATCAAGTTTTGTATATATTATGATCTATTATATATAAGAATTACACTTATATCAAAGTTGGGATTATAAAAACTTTAATTTTTTTAATATAACAATTAAATCTTAAATATATTATTTTATATCTTTAGTTATACACATATAACTTTAGGATTCAGCTGGTTTAAACACCGCAGTTACAAAGAGTTAGTGGAAGTGGGCGATTGCGGGCTATAAAAAATTAAAGAAGAGATGAGCGGAGAGCTACCGAAGAATTTTATAAAATAAGAATTCACAAATTCTATAATAAATTTTTATTATAATATTTATTTAGAAACCATATATTACAAAACGCTGAAAAATAAGAAATTTTGATTAAATGCGAAACGATATAAACGGTTTTTGTGATTGTTGTTAAACGCCAAAAACTGTATCGTGTAAAATCATAACGTTTGCGAAAAATATCAGAAAAACTAACCAACACCTAAATATTACAATTCACTTATTTATAACTCATACCTATATGCATAAATATATTACAAGATTATATTGTGCAAGAGAAAAAAGAAATAAAATATAGATAATATTCAAAACATATTATAAGTTAATTATTATTTAATATAACTTTTACATGTGTAATTATATGTTACTCTAAACGCTAGAGAAAACAAAAGGTTTTCAAAATACACAAAACTATATGAAACGTTTGTGTGATTGTCGTTAAACACTAAAAGTGTAATAAATGTAATGCTTACATAATAAGTTTTCCAAAGACACAAAATGATTTGAAATGTTTGTGTGATTGTTGTTAAACACTAAAATTTTATATGTATAAAAACATAATGCTTACATAATGTATAAGAAATTAATCAATACTTAAACATTACAACTAATTATGTCTATAAAAAAAACTATATTCGCACATGTCTACGGACCAACCATAAAATTAAATAAATTATTATAGATTTTAATGTTTTCAGTTTATTTAGTTATCATATTTACACTTTTTATCTAATGAAGTATTTTAAGAATCTGGATTAATATTTTTTATCTTCAATTTTTATTGAAATCTATAATATTTTTATTTAATTTATTGTTATTTTTATTATTAAATACTTATATAATGTTACTACTAATATATAATTAATTATATACAAGTAAATCATCTTTAATATATAATATTAATCATATATTTAAAATATAAAATGTTTTATACTCCGCATGCGGTACAGACCGATTATCTAGTATTCTTTAAATGGTAATCAAAACTAAGAATGAAGAAGAATGTAGTGTTCCTTCTTATTATTTTTCTTGTCTATTGAGGAATTAACTGAAAACTGCTTGTCTATTGTGGAATTAACCGAAAACTGGTATACAAGCCGAGCTGGAATATTACATTCGGACCAAACGGTCCAAACTTATTGAAGCCACGTTGGTCGTTGGATACGTCATGCTCTGCCTCGAACTCAAACCTCTCTGAGGTCTATTTTGACTCTCTTGTCCTTAAAAAATGTCGAAACACTTTAACACATACTCACAGTTCCTTTTGTCTCTTTGTCTACTTTATTCCCTCTCATTTTACCTTCCGATTTATTGCTTTTCTATTTTTTCAGCTTAAACATAACGTAAAAAGGGAAATACTCCCTTTTCTTCCTGGGATCTATAAAACTGATAATATCATGATATCATCATCTACTTTCCCTGATTTCATTCTATAATAATATTTTCTTTAAGATGATAATAATTTCTATATTCTTTTTTAAAGAAAATAACAAGAGAGACGAATGTGTAGCTTTTCTTTGGTTTACTCTCTTCGGGTGGGAAGTAGTTTTCCAGAAGATTATTAACGAGTAAGAAGCAAAGAAAGTTATAGCAGCTTCCACCAAAATCAAGAAGTTGTTTGTTTTCAATTTTGATGAAAAAGAAAGTATTTATATTTTAATTTTGCCAGTTAAATCGTTTTGGATTTTCTTCCGTCATGGGTTGATTTTAGCTGTAAAGGGCCACACACATTGCCCACAAAATGCCCCTTCTTCTTGACGTCTCTCTCTCTAAGACTTTTGATTTGAAAAACAATTAATTCTTTTTTTTTTCTCTCTTCTTAGAATTTACTTTTTGTTTGAATTTTTTTAATGGAGTTGTAGTGGTTTTCCTCTTTCTCTTCAATTTAATTATATTCCTCTTTACTCTGTCGCGAAATTTCTGGGTTTGGTGGGTTTCCATCTTTTGAAATTCCTTGTGAGATGTGAAATTTTCAATTTTGATCATATTTCTGAGTTGGAATTGGGCCTTCTCTCTCAGAGGCATGTCACCTGCAGCCAAAGTCTCTGAGTTTCACAGAGAAGGGAATGATTGGTAAATCTCTCTATATCTGCATGTTTGTATGTTTGTTTGAACAATTTCAGTTCATGGGTTTTGTCTAAAAATGATTCAGTTGTCCAATTTTGTGGTTTTGGTAGCTCCAAGAACTTAAAGTTTGCAGTTTTTTATAATTCATCAGTCGCCATCTCATTTTAAAGATGTTCAGAGAGTGAAGTGAAGAGTTTAGAAATCTTGGATCCTGTCATGGAAAACAAATGAAAGACTGAATAGAGATAGTACCAAAGATGTTATTTAGATGGAATTCCCCTACAAAATTGTTCTTAGATGTCATAAAGAGAGCTGGATTTTAAAATTTTGCAGGTTTTGCAAGACAGGGCTGTCAAGTGATATCACTGTTGTTGTTGATGATGTGAAGTTCCATCTCCATAAGGTATAAGCTTTTTTAATTGTTCTTTGATGCTTTGCTTTCGTCCTGAGTTTGGTATCAATCTTTCTCTCTTTGGGTAAGTATGTGTTTGATCGTTGGGCAAAGAATATGTGTGAATCTCTGAGAAGAACCATGGAGGTGATCATTATAGGAACAATGCTGGATTTAGCTAGTGATTCTTTATATACAAACCTATTAAACCATCTTAAGCTACATAGATCCAACTACTACTAGTTATGTGTAAGACCTTTCTTATGGTTATTTGAGCATGTAACTTACAAGGGTTTGTGTATGCGTGTATTTGCAGTTCCCACTGGTGTCAAAATGTGGAAAGCTAGCTCGGATGTATGAAGATTCTGAAAGCAAATCTCTATGGACGACAGTGCTTGAAGAGTTCCCAGGTGGTGCAGATACTTTCTTGATAGCTGCAAGATTCTGCTACGGTGCTCGAATAGATCTCACCGCGAAAAACATAGTTCCCATACACTGTGCAGCTGAGTACCTCGAGATGACGAATGAGTATGGAGAAGTTAACTTGATCTCCCAAGTCGAAACCTTTCTGCACAAGAACGTGCTTCGGAATTGGAAAGACTGTATATTGGCTTTACAAAGCTCGAGTCCGGTGTTAAAGACTGCAGAAAAGCTTCAGATGATACCAAAACTCATGAACGCCGTGTCAACGATGGTGTGTACTGACCCTAGTTTGTTTGGATGGCCTATGATGATGTATGGTACATTGCAGAGTCCTGGTGGAAGCATTCTATGGAACGGGATTCACACGGGAGCGCGAATGAGAAGCTCGGGTTCGGATTGGTGGTACGAAGATATCTCTTATCTAAGTGTTGATTTGTTCAGAAGGCTCATTAAGACGATGGAAACAAAAGGTATACGCGCTGAGAGTTTAGCCGGTGCTATGATGTATTACGCGAGAAAGTACTTGCCTGGTTTGGGACGATGGCAGAGTGGAACAAGAGGAGGAAGCAGCAGCAAAATCAGAAGAAGAAGTGTTGTGAGTTTTAGTTTGGCAACAGCTTCTTCTTCCTCCTCTATGTCTCCTGTTGATCAGATTGCTCTGCTTGAAATCACTCTGAGTCTTTTACCTGAAAAGAGAGGAAGATCTTTCTGCAAGTTCTTGTTAGGTCTCCTACGTGTTGCTTTCATCTTGGGAGTTGATGGGGATTTTGTAAAGAAACTGGAGAGAAGGATAGGGATGCAGCTTGAGCTAGCAACGCTCGAGAATCTTCTGATTCTTAACTATTCGGATTCCGAGACTCTGTACAATGTAGATTGCGTAGAACGAATGATACACCATTTTGTATCCTCATCATCATCTTCATCCTCGCGGTTACCTGACTTCTCTCCTCCATCTTTGGATCCAGAGATGTCTCCTTCTTCTTCAGCGCCATTGAGGAAAGTAGCTAAGCTGGTTGATAGCTACATGGCAGAGGTTGCTTCGGATGCGAATCTGAAACCGGATAAGATGCGGTCTCTTGCAGCAGCTCTACCGGAATCTTCAAGACCCTTGTATGATGGTCTATACAGAGCATTTGATATCTATTTCAAGGTTAGATCATGCTCAAATCTGAAATCTTTTTCTCCAGAAGGAACCTATATTTGAATATGAATCATGAAACTTTTCAGGAGCATCCATGGCTATCAGATAAAGACAAGGAACAGCTCTGCAACATCATGGACTACCAAAGACTCTCCATAGACGCGTGTGCACATGCTTCACATAACGACAGGTTACCACTCAGAGTTGTTCTTCAAGTCCTCTTCTTCGAACAAATGCATCTCAGGACCGCTCTTGCAAGCGGCCTCAATGTCGGAAACACCGATACAACGACCGTTCCAGGGAGGAGAACAAGGGAAGAGATAATTCAGAGAGATGGTTGGGTAACCGTTGTGCGGCAAAACCAGGTTTTGAAAGTTAATATGCAGAAAATGAGGTCAAGGGTTGGAGAACTTGAAGTGGAGTTTCAGAGTATCAAACAGGAGATGAAGAAGAGAGCGAGCAAGTCCTCTTGCTCCGTGAGCTCGCCTCGTCTTGTTAAGATGGGTTGCAAGTTTCTTCTTCCATGAGCCTCTGACGTTAAGAATGATACTACAGTCCAAAGCTCGGTGGCTAGCACTCCTAGATCCCGTGCCCCTGATCACGCACAACCTCGCTTTTCACGCCATTCCAAACACAGGAAAAGCTTCTCCTTTTTCGGATAAATCTCACTCCGAAAACGTTTATCAGCTCATCTTCTCTCAAAACCCAACACAAAGAATGTTCCTTTTTTTTGTTTCTGAGACTTTCCCTCCAAGAAAGTTTCTCTCTTTTCCCGGGAACCCCCACAGATAAAGTTCCAAACACCGGAAAAGCTTCTCCTTTTACGGATAAATCTCTGTCCAAAAACGTTTATCAGCTCATCTTCTCTCAAAAACCCAACACAAAGAACGTTCCTTCTTTTCTCTGAGACTTTCCCTCCAAGAAAGTTTCTCTGTTTTCCCCGGAAAACCCCACTGAAAAAGGAACTTCTTTTCATTGCCGAGAATCCCAACAGAAAGTTTTTCCCTTTTCCCGTGAAAACCAACAGAAACTTTCTCCCTTTTCCCGGGAAAACCAACAGAGAAGGCCCAAGAACAGAAGCTGGTCATTTGATGTTGGGTCTCTTTCTGTTCAGCAAAGCATTTTGTGTTCTTTCTCACTCTTTGGTTAAGAGTATTTTCCGCGGTTTTTCTCACAAGGTAAAGAGCTTTGAAGACTCTCTTACCATCATAGTTGATAGGGTTTTTAGTAAAGGACATGGCTTTGTGATCTTGGTGGTTTTGGGATATGGGTATACCGTAAAAGTAAATAACTAGAGTTAGGATCTATAGAGAAAAGAGGGTATAATTCTTGTCTGGTTTGGTATATGATTCGTTTGAATCTTTGTAGATGTGTTGTTGTGCCTATATTTGTGTAAATCTTGCTCCATTACCTCGATCTACAAGCAGAGTTTGCTGCTTTGTCAATAACATATGATCTTTTTTACTGTTCCGATGTATTGAAACGTTTGATAAAGAGTTTAAGCTACTTAAACAGTAGTACAAGACTAAGGACAATTTTTAGTTGAGAATATATATTTTTTTTATATATTTTATGAAACAAATTAACAAGAGGCTTTGTTTCTACGACCTGAAGTTTAAACTAGAAACTCTATAAATAAATAATGTTAAGACTTTGATATTTTATTAATTTATAGAATTATTAATTTATTAGTTTTGGATAAAATAAATTATTTATTAATAATTAATTAATATTAATATTTTCTTAAACCAATTTATAATATTTTCTAAAAAAATCATTATAAAATTAGAGATAAATAATAAAAATATTTTAATTTTAATATGAAAAAGTAGTATATTCATATTTTAATAGATTATCATCATTATATATTTATATAAAATAATTTGATATTATATTTATTAATTTATGATACTAATGGGACTATATTTTATATAGATTTTCAAAATAATTATTATCTTATTAATTTATTAATTTGTATTAAATTTATCGAATATTAATTTATAAAGTTTCTACTATATACATTATGGTTTTTGGAAGACATTAGTATTTTTCTAAAATCTACTGTTATTGGATTTTGAATTCTTCTCAACTAATTCAAAATAATTCATGGTTATATAATTGATAAGTGTCCAAAATCATAAAAAAAACTGGATTATTGGATCATTTTCACTATTAAAATAAATCAAATCTGAAAAGATTTCTAAATATTTGATTACAATCTTTTAGTTATATGATCCAATCAGTAAATTTCACTTACAAATATGATAATTTCAAGAATTTTTTTTTTTTTTAAACTTATCTTATTTTTTGGTCGAAATAAGTTTGGATACGTTAATATATATATATATATAATATATATATATATATATATGTGCATCTCATTTGAAAGTATAAAAGAAAACTCGAAACATAACTGAGGTATCGTTCTAAATTCATCTATTAATTTTAGAATTTTCTCAGATATAATTGTCACGTACTCATGTATATCATGGTGGCTATGTTTTATTTATGCAGCAATTCAGATCATTTTTAATAAAAAGTGTGTTGGTTTTTGTTTTGTTTAACACAATAATTCGTTTTTTTCATACAAAATAAACTGAAATTTATCTTAAAAGTCTTTCCAAATCCTAATTTTTATTTTTAATTACTTAAAAGTATATATATTAAAAATACACACAATATCTATAAATTCTATCAAAATCCAACTAAATATCAAATCATTCAAAATATATTCAAATCATTCAAATCATTCATCTTGTTCTTCGATTAGGTAGAAATATATAATTTCTTTGTTTTTACAGTTAATTTATATTTTATTTGTTAGTTTGATTTATTTATGTTCATATGATTATTCTCTAATCAGGATAATTGATCATCTATACATTGTTGTTCTAAATCACACACACCACATATATTATTGTTAAGTTTCTTATTTATTCTGTGTTTTTTGTTATGTTCATATTATTCTAGGATTAATCGAGCAAACGTCATTGCTTATGTGCCACATGACTCAGCCGGAGTTAACATTTAACTATTACTGTTATGGTCAATATGGATTTTGGCACAAAATAGTTAGGGTAGGTAAATTGAAATTTATATGGGGTTCAGGTAGAAAAACACACTGTATATAAGTTTAGATAGGAGAGTACACGACATATTTAGTTTGGGTTTTGACACTTTTCCCGCCAAACCTCGTTGACATGCTGGCAACTCCGTCAATCAGTGTGAGCGGCCGTTAACGGTCAACTAACGGGAATATGGTCAATATGGATTTTGGTATGAAATAGATAGTTAGAGTAGGTTATTTGAACTTTATATGAAGTTGAAGTAAGAAAACATACTATGTATAAATTCAGGTAGGAAAAAACACGATAGAGTTAGTTTGGGTTGAAATTGGCTCTATTCCTGATTATGTTTCCATACTAACTACGATTTTCTCTTTTATACGGTTTGATTTCTTTTTTTTTTTACTGTTTAGTTTCAATCGTTGTAATTATTGATAACAAAATGCCAATATTTATGTGTGTGTTTTTTATATAAATTTTTAAAAACCCCATGTATATACATGGTATTTTGAAAATTGAATCTTATGAATAAAATTGTAGAGAATCCATGTTATAATAACCTTAGATTTTAATAAAGTTACAAAATCAATAATAACTAATTTTTTGAAGAATAAAGGATTTTGGATCAAATTTAAAAGTCTTAAAATCAATAACAGTAGACTGTACTAAGATTTAAAGAATCTATGAATCTATAATGATACAATCTCAAAATTCTTAAATTTTTTTAAAATATATTTTCCAGTAACCCCGCTAAGATAATTGTCAAACCATAAAAACCTCCAAAAGATGCATACCAGCTAAAAAAGGACTCAGAATCGAACCTTGATATTGGACATGGTGAAGAAGTTACGGATCATGTGTGTTATTATTCTGTAATTTTGTTACAAATCTGATGAACGATTTCTCTAAAGTTAGCTTAAACTGAGTCTTACAGTTTCCACCTTTTGGCTCGTACAATCTTGAACTCTCTTTTCTTTTTGTAATATCGTTACTAAGAATTTATAATATTGCTGATATCCGTCTATGTTAGTACCGGGCCCTAAGAAGATCTATTTAACTAGCTCGACCCGAATCAAGTCTTCGAGCCAAGTAAAAAATGGAAACTCCCGGCCCAAATAAAGTCTTCGGTCCAAATGAAGAGTGGACAAAATGACCCAGATTCAAAGATAAGGCCCAGTAAAGATTGAGTCAGCCAAAGTCCATGAAGTCCGTTGGGCCCAGCACTTTAAGTTACTATAAATAGGACCGTACTGCAAAGAAAAAAAATGACACTTTCTGAGGATTTATGAGATTAAGCTCTAAATACTCTCTTAATTTGATTGTCACTTTTAGAGTTCTCTTTGTAAGGTTTTTGGAGGTGCCCCTTTTAAGGTTCCTTTTTTCAGAGTCCTCCTCTCGGGAATCCATCTTTTTGGAAGCCCTCTTTGGGAATCTCTTTTAGTATTTTTGGTTTCGCTTCTTGTAATCCGTCGGCTTGTTAATTTTAATAAACCGTATTATTCAGAAAGTTGAATCCTATTATCAACAGTTGACGCCCACCAAGGGGCTCGAACCCACGACCACAAGGTTAAGAGCTTTGGTGGATTATTTTCAGTCACATTCTATCACTGTCCTCTCAAACCAACCACTGCAAACGATTTTTCACAGCCCAAACCAATCCAACCGGATGGAAAAATGGGCCGTCGAATTGAGTGAATACAACATTGACTACAAAAACAAAACACGCACAAAATCACTAGTTCTCACCAACTTCTTAATCGAGCTACCACCAGGTTCCACAAATGGCGATCTTTCTATCTAATAAAAATGGTCTTCATACGTCGATGGATCGTCATCCTGCAATGGATCAGGAGTTGGAGTCAGACTCATATCCCTAACATGCGAAATTCTTGAGCAATCTTTCCACCTCAAATGCGCTTGGCGTCCAACAATGAGGCAGAATACAAGGCACTCATCACTAGACTGCAATTAGCTAAAGCAATAAGAGCAAAACAGATCCAGCCATTTTGCGACTCACAGCTCGTGGCCAGCCAATAATGGGGAGTATGAGGAAAAAAACGAGCATATGGATGCCTACCTCAAAGACATCTAAAACCTCACCAGGGACTTCAGCCACTTCATCCTCACCAAAATGTCGCAAAATGATAACTCACCATCTGATGCTCTAGCTGCCCTCGCATCAAATTCCAACCCAGTCCTTTGACAACTCATACCCATCGAGCATCTCTACACTAAGCATATAGTTGACAAAAGGGGTATGTGCTATCGCAGAACTCTAAGAACGCTTCGACGATGTTGACGAAACAAATTGTGAACCAATGGATCTGGCCGGCAAACCTGTTAAAATAGATTGAAGGGATGAAATTACAGTGTATCTCTCCGACGGAGAAGTCCCAACAGATAAATGGACAGCCCGGCGTCTCAAGTACGATGCACCCATTATACCCTCCTCGACGATACACTCTGTTGATGGAGTGCATCTAGGGTCCTTCTACACTGTATCCCTGACAAAGAAATCCAAGACATCATAAAAGAGACGCACGGGGGAGCAGGCGGAAATCACTCCAGAGGACAAGCTTTAGCGCTAAAAATTAAAAGAGCATGGCATATTTTGGCCAACTATGATACTATAATGCGAGAAATTCGTCGCTCGCTGTGAAAAGTGCCAGCGACATTCACCGATAATCCACATACCATCAGAGTTATTGACGGTCTTCACAGCCCATTATCCTTTCATGCGATGGGCGATGGACATTATCAGACCTCTCCCATGATCTCAACAGAAGAGGTTCGTATTAGTCATGACGGATTACTTCACTAAATGGGCTGTAGGCAAAGCATACACCAAAGTCCATGTCGTCGATGTTCAAAAGTTTCTTTGGATGTTCATCATCTGTAGGCACGGTCTGCCAAACGAGATTGTCACTAACAATGCTTCCCAATTTTTCTCGGCCATATTCAAAGATTTCTGTGCAAAATGAAAGATTCAACTAAGTAAATCAATCCCTCGATACCCCAAAGCAACAGACAGGCCGAAGCGACGAATAAGACAGTCCTTGATGGCCTCAAGAAACACTTTGAATCAAAGAAAGGGGCCAGGGCAGACGAGATCGACAGATTATTATGGTCGCACAGAATCTTACCACTACGATCGATAAACAGGACCCCTTTCAACTTATCTCACAAAATGGAAGCCATGTCACCAGCTGAAGTAAGAATCTTCGGCCTGCGACACACAATGATGGTCATAAATGTCGCACTTAATGACGAATTGCTTAAGAACCACTTCGACTTATTAGAAGGGGAACGGGATCAGGAAATGCTAAGGATTCAAAACTATCAGCAGTTTGTGGCTCGATATTTCAACAAGAATCCGCAAAGTCTTCGAAAACACACGTGAGCAAGTTACATGAGTATAATGGAAGGTCCCTACATTATATCCATGGTCGTCAAACCAGGAGTATTTGATCTAACAACGATGGCAGGCAAAGAAATCCCAAGATCATGGAACGTCATGCACATCAAAAGATACTACTACTGATCA